TGTATATGATATCATGGAGATTCCCCTCTCTTTTCTGGTCTGGTAATGGGCAGGAGCTGAAGATAGTAGAGATGAAGCGCCCTTGTGTGGCAAAATGGAAGTCCAGCAGGTCACAGAAATCCTTACAGAAGTGTGTGAAGTGGAAAATTCCTCCTCTCAAAGGCTGGTGCAGGGATCAATCTGGGTCCGCAGAAGCTGAAAAGGCTCATCGCAGAAGACACAGGCACTTCTCAGCTCTACCTCTGAAGAAGTGCGTGCGCACGAAACGCGTCAGGTGGAGCCCAGGATGCCATTGACACTACGCCGCCGGTGCCACGTGGAGGCCCGGCGGCCATCTTTAATCTTAAAGGGTCAGTCATTTGATTAAACCTGGCACCATTGAGAGTTTTTCCTGAACACTCCTGTTTTTCTTGAATAAAATCATTTTCATCAACCTACTACACTATGGGTTCTTTCCTGTGTCTTCTGCGATGAGCCTTTTCAGCTTCTGCGGACCCAGATTGATCCCTGCACCAGCCTTGGAGAGGAGGAATTTTCCACTTCACACACTTCTATAAGGATTTCTGTGACCTGCTGGACCTCCATTTCGCCACACAAGGGCGCTTCATCTCTACTATCTTCAGCTCCTGCCCATTACCAGACCAGAAAAGAGAGGGGAATCTCCATGATATCATATACACATGCGTATTATTAATACGTTTCTGGTTAGTGCGCATTTCTAACTTTTGCACTGGGAATCAGCGAGCACCATTACTGGACTGTGATTTATTTATTTATTGATTTATTTATTCATTTGCTTTGGTTTCATTTATTATTTATATCTGCCTGCAATATAGTAACATCACACAGCGCTGCAATTTCTTTATATATATATTTTTGGGACTTTTATGTGTTTTCCTTGAATGTTCAGCTGCTGACCATTGGAGCGCTCACTGTATTTTTTATACTCTCATGCAATAGTTTTTGGTTACTTACCTTGCCATAGCCTCCCTTTCCAAGTATTTTATGGAAGATGAAACTCTCTGGACTCAGTGTGTATTCTGTTGACCCGATTATTCCTAGACAGAGAAAGAGAATTCAAAGTTACTACTGCATCCCAATACAAATCATATTAGTCTATCTATTTCTACTGGCAGGTGAAGCCTCCAAAACAGGGAGAACTTTTAAACCAGAGTACGGTGGATATAAAATGGTTTACTCCAGGTATAACTGAAAATTAATCATTAAGTCTGTGGCCACTTTATGTTCTGTTAGTTTTGGTGGAGCTCAGGAGAGACATCTGTCACTGAATACACTTAAAATGCTATTATATGGGCCCATAAGTTCCCTATGTGACAGCAATAAAGTTTTGTGAAAAAAAAAAACATTTAAGTGACATAAAAACAACTGTTAAATCACCTATTAAGAAGTGGAAAGTTCGGGGATCTCTTTATAACAAGCCAAGGTCAGGTAGATCAAGAACGATTGCAGCCATACTTGCCAGAAGAATTGTTCAGGATACAAAGGGAAACCCATAGGTAACCACAAGAAAAATACAGGCTGCTCTGGAAAAAGACAGTGTGGTTGTTTTGAAGGAGCACAATATGATGACACTTCAACAAAAATGAGCTGCATGGTCGAGGTGCCAGGCTTTTTTGTGGCATTGGTGAACTAAAAGCTTCTTTCTGGCACCCTGACCAAACAGCTCATTTTTGTTCAAGTATCACCGCATTGTACTCCTTAAAAACAACCACACCATCTTTTTCCAGAGCAGCCTGTATTTCTTTTGAGGTTGCCTGTGGGTTTTTCTTTGAATCCCGGACAATTCTTCTGTCAGTTATGGCTGCAATCTTTCTTGGTCTTCCTGACCTTGGCTTGATATCAAAAGATCCCCGAACTTTCCACTTCTTAATAGGTGATTTAGCAGTACTGATTGGCATATTCAAGGCTTTGGACATCTTTTTATGTCCTTTTCCATCTTTATAAAGTTCCATTACCTTGTTATGCAGAACTTTTGACAGTTCTTTTCTGATCCCCATGGCTCAGTATCTAGCCTAGTCAGTGCTTCCACGTAAGAGCTAACAAGCTCATTGACTATTTATACACTGACACTAATTGCAATTTAAAAAGCCACAGATGTGGGACATTAACCTCTAATTGGCATTTTAACCCGTGTGTGTCACCTTGTGTGTCTGTACCAAGGCCAAACATTCCAGGGGAGGGAAACTTTTGATCATGGCCATTTGGGTGATTTCTTTTATCATTATGATTTAAAAAGGAGCCAAACAACTTTCTGATAATAAATGGCTTCATATGATCATCATCTTTCAATAAAAGAGCATTTTTTGTCATGATCAGTCATATTTTCAATATCAATGTCAAAATGTCATAATTTTTGCCAGGGTATGCAGACTTTTGAGCACAATTGTATATATATATATCAAAAGTGACATATAGGCTTCCTTGATGAGGGCTTGATCTGTATTTTGGAGGGGTCCCCATTGCATTATTTATAAAATAAAGGCTGCTTGCGCAGTGTTCACATTGCAGAGATATGACACTTCACAAGCAGATTTAGAAGACTCCCCTTCATCCCCCAAGCATTTTTTTTTTAAACGGCGCATTTTTAATGTTGCATGTTAAGAATTCACTGCTCCCTGCAAAACAGTACTTTTTCAGAGTACTGCTTAAAGCGGAACTTCAGAACGCAATTAACTATGGGTCCATGCAGCAATAAAAATTGCCAGTGTATTTCTTTTTTTTTGACGGGGCTATTTGTTTTTTAATTCTTATCTGCTTCACTTGTCTTTTGCTTCTTCCTCCAATGATCATCATGTTCAGCCTGTTGGGAAAATTTTCTCTTCCCGTTTTTCTTCTCTGCAGCGTTCTCAGCTTCCTGCATAGCACTGTAATATATGCTCTGCTTCCTCGTAGGCTTGTCTCTGCTCTGTGTAGAGCTTTCTGCTTCCTGCATAGTGCTGTAATATATGTTTTGCTTTCTTGGAGGCCCATCTGTCTCCTTTGCAAAGCTCTCTGTTTCTTCCAGTCTTCTCTTCCTCAGGTTCTTACCTGTTTTCTCTGCAGAGATTTCTTGTTCCATTCTCCTCCTCTTGCGTAGCACCATGTCCATCTTCTCTGTAGAGATCTCTTCTTCTTCCACTCTAGACCTCTTCCTCAGAACCATGCCTGTCTTCTCTGAGGAGACCTCTTTGTCTTTTACTCTTCTCCTCTTCCTCAGTACCATGCCTGTTTTCTCTAAAGAGATCTCTGCTGGCTCCTCTCTCCTCCTCTTCCTCAGAGACATGCCTTTCTTCTTTGTATAGATCTCTTCTTTTTCCGCTCTTCTTTGCTTCCTTGGGAGATCAGCTGTCCCCTCCACAAAACTGTTTGCTTCCTCAGCGCTATGAAATATCTCCTCACTGCTTGACTTGCTCAGAATCGTGTCTGACTCCTCTAATTCCTCCTCAGCAGTATAAAATATCTCCTCACTGCTTGACTTCCTCAGAGTCATGGCTGACTCCTCTAATTCCTCCTCAGCGGAATAAAATATCTCCTCACTGCTTGACTTCCTCAGAGTCATGGCTGACTCCTCTAATTCCTCAGCGGAATAAAATATCTCCTCACTGCTTGACTTCCTCAGAGTCATGGCTGACTCCTCTAAATCCTCCTCAGGGCTATGAAATATCTCCTCGCTGCTTGACTTCCTCAGAGTCATGGCTGACTCCTCTAATTCCTCCTCAGCGATATAAAATATCTCCTCGCTGCTTGGCTTCCTCAGAGTCATGGCTGACTCCTCTAAATCCTCCTCAGTGCTATGAAATATCTCCTCGCTGCTTGACTTCCTCAGAGTCATGGCTGACTCCTCTAAATCCTCCTCAGTGCTATGAAATATCTCCTCGCTGCTTGACTTCCGCAGAGTCATGGCTGACTCCTCTAATTCCTCCTCAGCGATATAAAATATCTCCTCGCTGCTTGACTTCCTCAGAGTCATGGTTGACTCTTCCTGAGCACTGAAGAATATTTCCTCACTGCTCCGCTTTCTCGTCCTCGTATCTGGCCTATTAGATGTTCCACAGCAGAGTCTCTCCTCTCTGTTGACACCTTTTTCCTCCATCATGGTTTTTTCCATGCTGGTTGTAGTAGAAACCATTTCCTTCCTCATACGTCCTGTGCTTTTTCTTTTTTTTGAGACAGCTAACATAGAAATAGCTGATTTCATGTCACTACTGAAACACCTAACAACAATCCAGTGGCTAATGAAAACTAACAGATCCCCAGGTACACGCCTGCTTTGCACCCTAACCCCTTCCACTTTTGGCCCCGCCCACCTACACTGTGACTTCATAGGCAAGATGTGTGAAATGCCGAGCTGTGCAGTACAGGGGATAGATTGCTTTTGCCTAGAAGGTGGAATAGGATATAATAAAGACAGTATGCCGTATTTGTGTCATTTCACATGAGTGTAGTGAGTGTTAATGTGGAACTGCCCGCTGTTTACAATTCCCTGATGTCATATTCTGAGATTAGAGAAGGATGGCAGAATACTTCGGGTCTGTGTGCCTCACAGAGCCTGATTTTTCAAAACAAACAGCCTGATGTCATGACTACATCCTTCCAACTGCCATTTCTGCCAACCTCCTCTGACACATTAACCCTTTTGCTGCCAGAGCCGTTTCTATGCATGTTTGTCAGCCTAGGAATGAAAGGAAAGCCCCACAAGAGCTTTTGCAGCATTGTTTTCACTTTATATGGCCGCTGTTTACTAAAAACAGGGATTGGTGAGCAAGAAAGGGGGACAGGGAGGTTTGTTACCGGATGGAGGGACTTCCCGCTTATGTGTTATGACACTTTATTGATTGGTTTGACATAATGTGAAATAATGACACCGAGCACCAAACATCTTCTTTGCTACAATTTAAAATGGCCGCCGAGGCGAATCACGGGATGTGACGTCACATCGGCCGGAAGTAGAGGGCCACGCTCTGTCCCGGTCCTTGCCTTCCGGTTTTGTGGGAGGAAACATGGCCGCCGAGGGGGATGTGGAGCTGGAGCTGGAGAATGAGGAGAACTGCAGCGAACGGCCGGCCGATAAACCTCGGAAACATGACAGCGGGGCGGCCGACCTGGAGAGGGTGACCGACTATGCGGAGGAGAAGGAGATCCAGAGCTCCAACCTGGAAACGGTGAGAGGCCGGCTGGGGCATCGGTCACACATCGCTCGGTGTACTGTGGGGGCCCTTCACCATGGAGACAGACTGACACCCCCCACCATTTGTGATGACTGGATAGGGGCCCCAACATTCCTGCAATCGCTTCTATTGTTGTTTTTGCTTTTCTTGTTATAATCTTCAGGAAACATTTATATTCTATTTATAGCTCTATATTGTGGTTATATTCTATTTATAGCTCGGTCATATTCTATTTATAGCTCTATATTGTGGTTATATTCTATTTATAGCTCGGTCATATTCTATTTATAGCTCTACATTGTGGTTATATTCTATTTATAGCTCGGCCATATTCTATTTATAGCTCTATATTGTGGTTATATTCTATTTATATCTCGGTCATATTCTATTTATATCTATATTGTGGTTATAATCATTTATCGTTTTGGATAAGGCTGACCATACACTATACAATCTGATTGGCCAATCTCCCTCAGATCTTCCATCATCTATGTAGCACAAGGGTTCTGATTGAATACGTATTGATTGGATTGTTTAGAATTGGCCAGGGTAGTTTTAATAATTCTAAAGAAGATTGTATAGAAATTGCCCAATCAGATTGTATAGTGTATGGCTGGTTTAGGACTAGGGATGAGCAGGGTTTGGTCCAAATTCAGGAGGAGGCTGGAAATGCCGGCCAATCAGATGCAACCGAGACATTCCCCGTCCGCAACCAGACATATACAGTATATGCGTCTTGTATAGCTACATCGGGGATGGGGGAGAATGCCTTGGCTGCTTAGGCTTTATTTAGATGGCTGCTGTCACCCTTCCTGCCTGCATCCGCCCATTGTTATTGGGCCCGCCTGCATCCGCCCATTGTTATTGGGCCCGCCTGCATCCGCCCATTGTTATTGGGCCCGCCTGCATCCGCCCATTGTTATTGGGCCCGCCTGCATCCGCCCATTGTTATTGGGCCCGCCTGCATCCGCCCATTGTTATTGGGCCCGCCTGCATCCGCCCATTGTTATTGGGCCCGCCTGCATCCGCCCATTGTTATTGGGCCCGCCTGCATCCGCCCATTGTTATTGGGCCCGCCTGCATCCGCCCATTGTTATTGGGGCCCGCCTGCATCCGCCCATTGTTATTGGGGCCCGCCTGCATCCGTCCATTGTTATTGGGGCCCGCCTGCATCCGTCCATTGTTATTGGGCCCGCCTGCGTGCATCCGTCCATTGTTATTGGGGCCCGCCTGCGTGCATCCGTCCATTGTTATTGGGGCCCGCCTGCGTGCATCCGTCCATTGTTATTGGGGCCCGCCTGCGTGCATCCGTCCATTGTTATTGGGGCCCGCCTGCGTGCATCCGCCCATTGTTATTGGGGCCCGCCTGCGTGCATCCGCCCATTGTTATTGGGGCCCGCCTGCGTGCATCCGCCCATTGTTATTGGGGCCCGCCTGCATCCGTCCATTGTTATTGGGCCGCCTGCATCCGCCAATTGTTATTGGGCCCGCCTGCATCCGCCCATTGTTATTGGGCCCGCCTGCATCCGCCCATTGTTATTGGGCCCGCCTGCATCCGCCCATTGTTATTGGGGCCCGCCTGCATCCGCCCATTGTTATTGGGCCCGCCTGCATCCGCCCATTGTTATTGGGCCCGCCTGCATCCGCCCATTGTTATTGGGGCCCGCCTGCATCCGCCCATTGTTATTGGGGCCCGCCTGCATCCGCCCATTGTTATTGGGCCCGCCTGCATCCGTCCATTGTTATTGGGGCCCGCCTGCCTGCATCCGTCCATTGTTATTGGGGCCCGCCTGCCTGCATCCGTCCATTGTTATTGGGGCCCGCCTGCCTGCATCCGTCCATTGTTATTGGGGCCCGCCTGCCTGCATCCGTCCATTGTTATTGGGGCCCGCCTGCCTGCATCCGTCCATTGTTATTGGGGCCCGCCTGCCTGCATCCGCCCATTGTTATTGGGCCTGCCTGCATCCATCCCGGACTGCATGCGGACAGCCTGTAGAGGCAGATGCAGCGGCTGTAGGGACACATGTCAAATTGTGATGTTGGCAGGAGCCGATGCACAGATGTGAATGCAGGCAGTGAAAGGAATTCAGTAAAGCTGCTGCATCACTTTTCTTGTGTGAATCCCTCTTCTTAGGGCCGGTTCACACCATGCCCACACAGTAACAGATGCAGGTGTGTGCGGTGTGATTTCAGCTTGTTCATTCTGAACGGATTAGAATGGCACTGTACCAGAAGTATTGTTTGCATTATATTATTATTATACAGGATTTATATAGCACCAACAGTTTGCTCAGCACTTTACAATATAACTGGAGACAATACAGTTCAATACAAGAGGGTTAGGAGCTTACAATCTAAGAGACCTTTAGAAACGCACTGCAACTGGGTTGCATGATACTTTTGTACCATGCCATCCAGTACGGGCAAACACTATTGACACCCGCTGCAGATCGAATCCACATTGCCTTTTGAACAGGGTGCGGGAAACACGCACAGAACGTGGGTTTCCCCGCACAGTGTTCTGTTGTGAACTGGCTCTTCATGTATTGAACTGAATTCCTGAAGCATTTTCTACAATTTTGGTCCCAACAGCGGCTCGTGCACCAAATTCAGATCCGTTCTAAATGCGCCTTTTTTATATTGTGTCGCAGTAATCGCTCTAAATGTAAAAGTGGAGCTAATTAAGACCAACTCTCTTTGTTGCTCAGAGAGAAAAGTTGGCTCAGATTTTGTGACTGTCCCTCGTGTGCATTCTAAGGCTCAATGCACACTGGCTTAAAAAAACCCACCATTGCTCTTGGCAGGAAATACCACTAGTTTTGAGCACTTTTTGTACTAGCGTTTAGTGTTTTTTTTTTTTTTTTTTTTTCTGCCTCTAAACACTGAACTTCAAAATGCCTCTAGACCAGTTTTTTTCAACCAAGGCACTCTTTAAAACCCTGCACAATCTCAAGGCACACCAAGCTAAAATGTAAAAAACTATTCTACACACATCCAGTACACCCAACGTTGGAGGTGATTTATTCTTCCAAAGCAAATACACCTTTGTATGCCGGTACTGACTAGTATTCCAATGTGTCTCGCTCATTTTCTCTCCCTCACTCTGCTAATGTGACCCCAGTGCTGACAGAGAGGGGCAGGGGAGGGCCAAACAAGGAGGATGTGCATGCACCCGATGTCCTTATCAACTGATGATGTAATTGGTTGTTAGGATGCTGGCAGCTAGAAGGTCATAAAAGCGCACAATGAAAACCTGTGACTTTGTGTAGCTAAAAGGCAGGATTGATCCACCTCCTCGCTTCTATACAACTTTGGGGCATTTTGCCAAGGCACTCCTGAAGAAGTCTGAAGGCACCCCAGGATGTCTGGGCACCCTGGTTGAGAGATGCTGCTCTAGACTACCTAATGTGTAAGGACACATAGGATAACATTACTTCTACAGGCAAAACACTGATCAACTCTGGGTGCAGCTTTTTTTTGTGTTCGTTTTTTTAAGCCAGTATGCCTGGAGCCTAAAAGTGGTGCAGCATGAGCCAAATTCAAGTACAAGTTCTAGACAGATACATGAATTTGGTGCATTCTTTACTACTTTTAGAATGCATGAGAGATGCTTTTGCTAATTTTGCCTGCACTAGTCTTTATGAATTCCAGGGAGCCTGTGCTCAGATCTGTGCACCTGCTCCTCTCCACAGTCCAGTGTTGACAAGCATCTGTGTCAGTGCAGCTGCTGCATCTGCATGCACCTCACTAGGCTGTGCGGATGCAGGCGTGCTAAGAAAAGGAGACCGCATGTAGGACGGGTGGCAATGGCTGTCTTAAAGCCTTATGAATGGTGGTCCTCAGTAACAGCTTCCTGGTGAGATTGGACTTGTATCTGTACACATCTGAGCTCATCCCTTCTCATGACATCATTGATCACATGGCCATAGAAGGTCAATGATGCAATGAACACCCCCCCTCCTTTGTTTACATGCAGCTGCAAGGCATGTCAAAACCTCTGAGTGGGCCAGCACTGACTTCTTTCAGGCTCAGACCAAATCCGGGCTCTTCCTTAGTTAACCACCTGCCCTCCAGAGGATTTACCCCCCCCCCCTTCCTGACCAGGCCATTTTTTTTGCGATACGCAGCTGCATTACTTTAACTGACAATTGCGCAGTCGTGCCACGCTGTACATAAATAACATTTATGTCCTTTTTTCCCCACAAATAGAGCTTTCTTTTGGTGGTATTTGATCGCCTCTGCGTTTGTCTTTTTTTTTTTTTTTTTTTTTTTTTTTTGCGCTATAAACAAAAAAAAAAAAAAAGTTTTGAAAAAGAAACCATATATTTGACTTTCTGCTGTAAAACATGTCCAATAAAATCATTTTTTAAAAATCAAATTGCATCATAAATATAGGCCAAAATGTATTCTGCTCCATGTCTTTGCTAAAAAGAAAAAAAATCCCAAGACATGTAAATTAATTGGTTTATGTGAAAGTTATAGCGTCTACAAATGGCGGTATATATACTGGGATTTTTTTTTTTTTTTTTTTATACTAGTAATGGCGCTGATCAGTGAATTTTAAAGGGGGGGTATTCTGACACTAGGTGGGAACTGACTAACTGCCACTGACATCAGAATGACACTAATACAGTGATCAGTGCTAATAAAAAGCACTGACACTGTACTAATGACACTGGGCAGGAAGGGGTTAACATCTGGGACGGTCAAAGGGTTAACTATGTGCTGTTTAACATAATGTGCTGTGTGTGCTTTACTAGGGAAACATGGTGCTGTGCAGAGAAATACAAAGCAGCATGGTACTGCTGGCAGGAGAGACCTGTGATGTTTACACACAGATCTCTCCCCTGTCAGTGTTACCTGGAAATCTCTGGCTGGGACCCAGTGATTGACATCTGTAGCCACCAATGTGCCCCCTACCCGGAAATGCAAATCACGTATATATACATGATTTTGCGCAGCCCTACTGCCCTGTAGCAGAAGAAGCGGTTAAA